TACTAGCTAATAGGCTTACTAAAAACCTAACTATATAATAATTTATAAGGTTTAGGGAGCACCTAAAGTTATATTATAGTAGAGTATAGATTATAGAGTATTAATTAAAGTAAGGTAGTATATATAATCTATTAATATATAATATAAGAATAACTAACTATAGCCTACCTCTTTATTATTAACTAGGTAGCTTCCCTAAGAAGCTTTATTACTCACGTAAAGCGTGCCTTAGAGTCTATAGGGAGCTACCTAGATTACCCTAACCTAGGATCTATAGGGGGAACCTTAGAGGAGCTAGAGTCCTTATCTTCTAATAAGGAGCTCTAGGCGCCCTTAGCTACAGCAGCAGCCTTGCGCGCAAGCTTAGTAGTAGTAGTAGTAGCTTTTACTAGCTCCTACTACTTAGCCTTACTCTCCTTAAGGAGCACTAAGACCCTCTACTTCTTATCCTTAAGAAGGTCTTAACTTTTACCTACCTACTTCCTTACTAGGAAGGATAGCGTAGAGTATTAGGCAAGCTTAGGGCTATTAGTTTATTAGTATAGATCTTACTAAGTATTATAAAGGAAAACTTCTTATATAGATTATATATATTAGGATATAGCTATACCTAGAGAAGAACTACTAGTACTAAGTCCCTCTACTAGAAGAGTTATAGCACTTACTATTAGACTTATTAAAGAATATAGAGCGTAGATAATTTAAATAAGTTTTAGTATAATAAATACTAGGCTCTCTATAGTAGGAGGATCTTAGGGTCTCCTTAGGAGCTAAAGAGGGAGTAGGAGAAGGAGTAGGGGTATTAGGTAGGGTCTAGGGAGGAGCAGGAGCTAGAGTTAGAGCTAGAGGGGTAAGAGCTAAGGCAGGAGCGCCCTTCCTTATCTTCTTAATCTTAGCTATAGTAGTAGTAGCTATATACTTAGCTACTACACGCTCTATAATAGCCTTACGCTTAGTAGTAGTATACTCTTCTTTAGTAGTAGTAGCTTTAGTAATAGTAGCTTTAGTAGTATAAGAGGTAATAAGGGTAGTATAAGTAGAGTAAGTATAAGTAGTAGATTTTAACTTTAACTAAGATATAAGTTAGTAAGGATATAAATATAGTTTAGATCTTTAGGGTTATATAATCTTATAATTTAAGCTATAGTAAAGATTATAGTTAGGTAGATAGAGTTATAGAGCTTAGTCTAGATAATATCTAAGCGTGTAAGCGTAGGCTAAATAAGGAAGGCGCGCTAGTTAGTATTTATAGGGTAAGCTAATTTAACCCTTTAGATATATAATACTCTAATTAGCTACACTACCTACTAACTATAAGCGTAACTATAATAATAAAAGATCTACCTATACTTAAGAGGTGTGTTATAGGAGGGATATTAACTAGATTATAGAGTACCTTAATCTAATTAATCCTAGTTAAATACCCCTATATAACCTACTATCTAATTAACTGCTAGCTTACTACTAAGTGCCTAATAAAAAGCAGGAGCTCTAGTAAGGAAGGTTTACTAATTATTTACCTTCTAGTAAGGGTAGCTAAAGCTCTATATATATAAGTCCGATCGTAGTAGATATAATCTAATAATCCATCTGCCAAATTATTCCTAACCTTAGTGATCTAGATTTCCACAGAACTTTTATAGTAGGGTGCTAAAATAAGTATATAAACACCACGCGCGTGTACTACTTAATATATAGGCCTGTTATAAATTAGGAAGGAATATAAAGATATAATAATAAACCCTAAAATATATAGTAATAAAAGCCTAAAATATATAGTAATAAAAGCCTAATATAGATTATAGAGGACAAAGATATAACCTTAAACCCCTAGAGAGACTATTTTACAATAGCTTATAGGGAAGGTTAGGGGTATATAAAGGGCTTAGGCTTATGCCTAAGCCTAGACCTAACACAAGATAGACTAAGTCTAATACTACTACTAAGCGAACACGCTACACACCTATAAAAAGGCGTAGAGGGCATACCTGTCCTTTAAGATACTAAATACTATTATTAACGCTTATTGCATTCTCCCTTAAGGCCAGTCCATAACACTTAGCTTTATTACTCTGTTCCTACTAACGCGCATTAGCTACGTCCTAATATAGGCCTACTATCTTTTGCCTTAACAGTATTAATTATTAGCACCACCTATTTTCTAACTTTTCTCTGCCCCCCTTATACTAGGAGAAATGTCCTCTTGGTTGCCTGCTGCTAGGCCCTCCCCTTCACCAAAGGTTAAGGGTTTAATCCCCTTAGGCTTCGCCATTTGAACTATTAGGGAGAGTAACCTATTTAAACAAGGAGAAGTAGGAGGGGCTAGGTTCAAATAGTAATAATCCTATAGTAGAAGATATGAATTTCATGTAGGATTATAAGAGAAAAGTTGATATTGTAGAGTTAAAGTAAAGTCTCTAGGAGTAATGCTATTCTATCCTCTAATCCTTCATGCCTTTATACCATTTAACCCGCCTAACCTTTTAGGCTAAGCCTCGTTTTCTCCTATACACCCCGTGCCACTGCACAATATAGGCTATATTATCTACAATAGTATTTTTAGTAGTAGCTAGAGATAAGAAATAATAGTAGAGCTAGAGGTATTAATTAGTACTAGTATTATAAGCAGGATTTAAAGCTATTACTATACCTATACGCCTACTAAATTTTGTAATAGACTAGCTATATTATATATATTATTAAGGATAACGCCTTACTATATACTAAAGCTAAGAGGTTCTTAGAGGCTAAGATTACCTAGTATAGTAGCTAGATTAAAACTATAGTATAGCCCTTTATATTACTAGATCTTAACTATATTAAATAAATCTAGGATTACTTAAAGGATCTATTTAAAATCTTTATAGCTTACTACTATAGATTCTTATTATAATAATATATTAAAGATTAGATTATAGAGGTATAGTAGTAGCTACTATAGTTAGTAATTAATATAGAGACATATAGCTTTTAGGCAAAGCTCTATAAAGTAATAGATAATTAAGGTAAGAAAAACTTCTATAGTTAGTAAAGCAGAATCTATTAAAATTACTATAAAATTTAACTACATACGCTCTTTATTGTATAGTGTTGATTGTCGCAACAATAGGTGGCAACTGGTGGCAAACCACGTGACTTCTGGACTACCCGAGCGCATGAGTAGATGGTGTGTGTGACTTCCTCGGTAAGAATAAGGAAAGCGTGGCAGCTCCACATAACGCCAACTGCCAATTCAATGCATGCTGCATAGATGACTGCTAAATATATTCTATTGGGAACACTTGAGCACCGTTACCACTGCTGGACGTATCATCAGTGAAGCGAAGCTATCGGAGAAGGGGCTATTGTTGCAGCATCAAACTGCCATACATTTCACGCAACTAAATCGAGACCTGAACCTAGTTCAAGACTGCACTGATAACAAAGACAATTACGACCAGCCTAGATAGATCTAGAAGTATTGAAACTGTCGGGAATACTCCCAAAGGATTTCGCCCACATATGATCAAACAAGCTTAGCCACATTGGCTGCATGCACTCATACATCGCGACCGTTCAAACCATGAGACAGCTAGCCGTATATTCAAGCCCTCATTTACTTTTACATTATAGCTGACTCACGGGGTTCAGATACTTCGAGCTGTAGTTTGCAAAGGGCACATAGGCAACACTAAAATTCATCATCTCATGTAATTCTCAGATATCGCTGACAATGCACAGGAGAATCTAGCTGGCAGCCATCGTGTGTCTTGATATACTCTCCAGCAGAGCATTCTAATGCTTCATTTGCCATGCAACGTGACAACGAAGCCGACCGGACACTGCAACGCACCACAGCACCCATGCTTAGTCGATTCAACGTTTACCTACTCAAAAATTACTATAAACTACTATTTAACCCATAACGGGATGTTAATCTTAATTTGACTTCTTACTTACGCGTACGATTTACTTAAAAAGATATCGCCTTATTATGACTTTAGTCTACAATTTAAGTTCTAGCTTACTCATGAGATTGTCTGGATTGAGATATGCCTTGTAGTGATTCTGGCCTGCAAGATTTACTTCTTGCTTACTCGGAGTCGCAAGACCTTATGATTCAGAAATTGGCGTAAACTCTAGCCTTCTTTTTAGATTTAGACAATTATGGCTATATTATCAATTGGTAACTACAGTTATTACTTAGTGCACTTAGTGTAGTGTGTATACAGCCTGATTATTGCGAGTAATATAGAAAGTAACGCGGTCTTCTACTAGCATATTTAGGGTGGCAAATGGATTCGGGATACCCAGCGATGGGTTTGGGTTAGGTTATAGGCTAGGTTAGGTAGGTATAGGTTGGGTAGGGGTTATCACGTGACATAACCCAACCCGTACCCAACCCATACCCATGTACCACCCTAAGCATATGTTCTTCTTACATCGTCTCAATACGCCAAGTAGCCCTGCTTTATCATGGAAGAAATCAAGAAAATGACTTACAGTCTTTGCTACGCACATCGTTTGTGAGGAGAATAATTTCTAATCCTCTTAAGCTTTCTAGAACGTCCCGATGTAAGCTTCTACCTAATCTGTGACAAGCGTAAATGTTAAACTGTATTCTACAGAATCAAACGCAACCCTCTAGCAAACGATCTAGACCCCGAAGATCCAAGTTGCATAACCTTATGGGCCATCAAAAAAAACCAATGACCGTTGAAACCAGGCTACGAGTAGCCAGCTCGTTCGCTTGAATCTTGCGCCACGAGACTCCTTTCAAAACGTGCCATTATGGCATCCTTAACTGTGTACCAGTGCTGAACATATAAGGCAACAAGAGCCCGTCGCATACCCCCGCCTCAGGACTCTGAGCACTACATCGAGACAGTTCTTCTATCAATCTTTATACTTTGCTACTTTGCAAGCTAAGCTAAATCTTTTCTTCATTCTCCATTATTAGAATGCATTTCACGACAATTTTATCTGCCTTAACATTGGCTTCAGGCGTCCTAACATCTCCCATGCCATCTGATCTAGAGGCTCGCGCTGTGGTACCTCATGACTCTCTGAACCCAATTCGCAGCCGTATCCAAGGAGGAGCCATTGGTCGTGCCATCACCATGTTCCAGCCTCTGTTACACCGCGCTCACGGTTGCGAAGTTTACACCGCCGTTGACGATAGCGGAAATATCAGGTAAGTTTATGACAAACAATCAAATTTCGTGCGCTCACGTATCTCGTTTGCAGTGGAGGTCTTCAGGACTCTGGCAATGTTAGAGGTGGATGCCGTGATACAAGCAAGGGCCAGACCTACGTTCGAGCAGCCTGGCACAGGGGTAAGTTCGCTATTATGTACGCATGGTACTGGCCCAAGGACCATCCAGCCTCTGGAAGACTCGTAGGTGGCCACCGTCACGACTGGGAGAGTGTCGTCGTCTGGCTTGACAACCCGGCAAACCCCCAACCCCGTCTTCTCGGTGCCGCTGCATCGGCTCATGGAAATTACAAGCGCAACTCGAACCCCAACAAGCAGGGAAATAATGTGAAAGTGGAGATATTTATCAAAAGTCCCGACAACCACGCCCTGCAGTTTACGAACACGGTGGGTCGCACCTTTTGGATCAACGACTGGGATACTATGCCCAACGCTGCGAAGCACGCTCTAGGAAACGCAAGATCGTTCGGTGAGGCAAATGTGCCTTTCAGACCCGATAACTTCTTTAGGAACCTAGACGAAGCCTTCCTCTAGATATGTGCTCAAAACATCCCACAGTTCTATAGGAGCTTCCAGTCGTTACCGAAGCTTTTAATATCACTAGGCAAATATATATTATGCTCTTAGTCAGGAATAGCGCGAACTCCTCGACGAAGATACTGTATTCCCCGAGGCCCCCTTTACAAAAAACATGACATGAGCTATGCATTGAGCCTGACCCTTACCCTAGTCTTTGTAAATTTTGTGAAATGTCGTTGCGGTGAAGTTTAAAAATGAAGAAAAACTATTTGAAAATCACGCTTCCTGAATCACAGTCCTCTTAACTCCAGCGCCTTATTCAATGCCTGCTGGAACACATCGATGTTCTCTTGCCTTAAAATGGTGAAATGCGTTCCTTGCACAGCATGATATCGGAGTGGTCCCTGGGAATCCTCATGGTCGACATCAATCTGCCCGGCACCTGCAACGTGAGATTTCCACGTTGCGAGCCAATCATGACGCCATTCATGATCGGTGCATTCATATTGTGGCAGCGGTGGTACCCAGAACACATCATACTTGGATACCAATCCTGTGGGTACATAAGATCTCGTGATTTCCTGCATATTACTGTTGATTCTTTGCCAGGCCTCCACCTTAGGAATGGAAAGATCGAGACTTTCGAGAGTTCCGTCCGGGAATCTGGCAAAGATTTCCTGTGTAAACTTTTCATCCGGGACATTCTCCATCTCCTTTTCCCACTGCAGAGCAGTTTCCAGTTCTACGAGCTGGAAGAAGTGGAGTAAGTCAATGATGAAATTTCGGGGCTTCGCGCGCACTTGAATTCGTGTCAGGTTCGCAGGGTTGTCGATCCCGCCACAAAAAGCGACTTGCTCACCGGCTGCTTCAAGCCTCTTTCCGAGCTCAAAAGCTAGCATCCCGCCGAAACATAAACCGAGTAATAGATATGGGCCCTTTGTTTGATGTTTTCGAATTCCCGAAATGTAGGTGTCGAGCATCTCGCCTAAGGTGTCGAATGGTGCTTCGTTCTTGTGAAACCCGCGCACTCGTAGTGCATAGACTGGTCGGTCCGGAAGGTATTTCAAGAGAATCAGCCATGTAAGGAACTCGCCGCCCCCAGGATGGCAGAGGATAATTGGGGCTTTCGAGCCGCTCGTGACCAATGGAACAATTGGGTCATACTCTGCCGTGATCGAGCCCAGCGATAAGAGCATATTGTCCATGTCGCCGATGGTGCGACAAGCCAGTAGCAGTGACATTGAAATCGATTCTTCGCGTTCCAGGACCTTTTCGAGCGCGGACTTTATCCGCAGAAACCCTAAGCTATCGATGTCAAGGTCGACGAGTGCTGTGTTCAGATGGAGCTGAGATAGCGTTAAACCAGTTTCGTCGCAGAGAACAGTCCCCAATGTCATTTGTAAAGGCGTTGTAAGCCCGGCCCCTTGTTGGATCTCGAACTGGGGCAACGTCTTCTTGAGTCTGAATTTGTCGAAGGAGCCAGCAAGGAATGCCTTCTTCAGCTTTGCGCGGGACAGTTTGCCGATAGTAGATTTAGGCAATTCTCGCCTTGGCAACGGAAGGACCATTGCTGGGCGTTTTCGGCAGAAACGTATAACAGCTTGATTTATCTGAGCAACAGTCTCTCGAAGCTCGGGCGTGTCGTTGACGTTGTCGTCCTTGGGGTTGAACAATATGACAATGTCCTCGCTGTCGGTTTCGGTTTGCTCAATCCAAACGGAAAAGGATGCTGTAAAACTCTTGTTCACTGCAGGAATGTTCGCAGATTCGATAGCATACTCCAATTCGAAGGAAGAGTAATTTTGACCGTTCAAGATCAAGACTTCCTTCGTGCGGCCAACTATAAGTAGGTTATTCCCATCATCCAACTTTCCAATATCCCCGGTGTCAAACCATCCATCTGTTGTCATACATGCGGCTGTTGCGGACTCATTGTTGAAGTAGCGTCTGAAAATGAGTGGACCTCTGATCTGGATTGCACCGGGTTTTCCTCTTTTGACTTCTATCCCACTTTCGTCGACCAATCGGAGTTCATGATCTGGTAGATGCTTCCCAGCAGATGCGAACACGTAGTTTCGCTCCGTGTCATATATTGGTGAATCGGCATTATAGAAAAGAGCCGAGCAGGTCTGGAGAATTATGAGTTTAGCATAATGTTAGAATGGGGAGAAAGGCGCATACCTCACTCAACCCGTAGCTTGCTTTGATGCTGCATTTTGGCGCTCCATAATACTGGAGGATCTTTTCTGCAGCTTCAAGCGTAGCTACCTTGTTTGCTTCGCCGCCACACATGATAACGCAGAGTTTACTAAAATCTAGACTCATCAGATTCCGTTCGCGGGGCTCCATATCGTTGATCGCGCGAACTGCAGCAGCGATAAAAAAGTTAGGTGCAAATGTATATGCGATATGAAAGTCGCTTAGGGCTTTCCAGAACCTGGCAGGACTCTGTACCAGATCCAGCGCAGGCACCATCACTTGATTTGCTCCGGCATAAAGAGCATGAAGATGGTTTTCGCAAAGAGCCGCGCTGTGATCGAAACCTTTGCGTCACTTGTCAGCAATCAGGTACCAGGAACAGTCGCCACTTGATAATACTTACTGACCCAAGACATGAATGTCTTACTCGAGTTCATTCCATGGAAACGACATTTCAATTCGCTGGAAGATACTAACTGTGTGTGCGTGTATTCTACGCCTTTCGAAAACCCTGTGCTGCCACTAGTGAAAAGGACTGTCGCGAGAGCATCCTCCCGGCCAGCTGGTTCGTTCATCGCCATTGGCTCGTCAGGGATGTCGATTTTCTCAACAACTTCCGCAGTCACTGTATTCATGCCAGGGACTAATCGAAATGGCTTCGCCAATTGCTTGGTAGTCAGGATGGTAGGCTTTTCGAAGAGCTTTTTGACGTTATCCAACTCCCCAGCAAGGGTGATCTCATTGCTTGACAATGGAGAGAGAAGTGCGGGTACACCACCTGCTACCACTGTAGACCAGAACCAAATCACATTGTTGCGGTGTGAGTTGAAGTACAGTACTGTGCACTCATTAGGAGTGACAGTCCCATGGGCGAGAAGTTTAGCCGCGTTGGACTTTGGACTCATTAGCATATTTGAACCGCATCTTGCGATGAGAGGCTTACCTTGGCCTGTGTGAGGAGTTCCGCATATGTCATAAAATCAGACTCTTGATCCCAGCCTTGATCTTTAAAGGCTATACCATTGTTTGGCCAGGATTTGGCAGCACGCTGCAGCAGTCCTAGCAAAGTTCTTGAATGATTAGAATCTCCCATCAAATCTGTTGGTTCAAAACCTTCTAAATGGGTTTGGGGATGAGCATCAGGTGGATAGTTCAGGTACGAAGGCATTACGGCAAAGTGTTTGCTTATCTGAGATCATTACTTCTACAAGTGATCGTCGATATTAAATATCACCCAAGTCCTTACGAACCAATTCCTAGATCGTGCTTTAGTGGTGACATTTTCCTCTTCCGGGAAGTGTAGGCGGTTGCAATCTGTCTAGCGTAAATATGTCACTGCAACTGTCAGGTCCACATGCGCATGGTCCAAATATGGCCCACCAATTTTAGCTAGCTTGTCCGAGAACGTTGATTCGAAAACGACCAACGAACCACGCCCCACTTTTGATTCGTTCACAGATTGTCACAGACCCAAAATGTCTGAAACCGGTATTATCGATGGGTAGAATGACTAGCGTCGAGTTTGCGATAACAAGTTCTTCATGCAATCGTACAGGACAATAGACTGAATCAAATTGCGCAGGCTGCTTCACGACGAATGTGTCGCTAACACACAAAAACAATCACTACCGAAAACATCTGATTTCAAGCCGAAAGGAAAGTCCGGAAGGCTACATAACTGTGATGTCATGAACTTTTCTACGTGACCAGACACTCGGGCAGGACAACAGATATTGACCACGCTTGCGACATAATGAGCTCGAAAACGGTTATACTGGTGCATAGGTATGATAATTGCAACAGTTACATTGCATTAAGATGGGAGTTTTCTTTTGAGATTCTGGTCAAGGTGTGAATGGCATCCAATAATATTCATGGGAATCCACTCAACTAGTACTTCAGGATTGATAGACAGAGCACCAAGCATTGCCTTATCATTTCACTTCCGTTTTCACCATGTGTTAGAAAGCAGTTTAACGATTGGTATTTCCTCTGGAAGTGTTTGTAGTTGATCGTCATTGGCATTCATATCATACCTTGAGACCACCTGGACACATTTACTAATCTGCCACTATATCTAACTTCGCATCTCCAATTCTTTTGTGGCCCCTGTTTCGTCTTAATACTTTTCAAGTCGGCAAGGTTTTCAGACACTTGACAAGGATTCACCAACCTTTCATAGAATGAACGTCCAGAAACCTCTCGATATTCTTATCTTCGGCACTGGAGGTAAGTCTTTGGTGCGCAAACATGATCCAGTATACTAAAAACCAAAATAGCTGTCGGTTCTACATTGGGGTGGAGGCTTGCCCAAAATCCACACACTAGACTGTCCGTTGTTTGCCGTTCAAATTATGAAGCTGTCAGGCAACAGCCAATTCAAATGAGAACTAGCATGTGGGGGAATGGTGCTTTCAAGCCTTTCCGTGTCGTTCGTTCGACGCGTGAGCTTCCAAGCATACCATTTGACTACATTGTTTGTACCAACAAGGTCATCGCTTCGGACCGCCTTTCGTTGGCCGATGAGCTGGCGCACGTCGTTTCCGCAAAAACAGCCCTTGTGTCAGCGCAAAATGGCGTTGGGGTCGAAGCACCGTTGCGAAGACTATTCCCTAGCAACACGATCCTGTCCGCTGTATGCTACATCAGCTGCTTACAGCCTATTCCTGGTGTTGTTCAACAAGTCTCCAGTATCCGCCCTCATGCCTTTCATGTCGGTACATATCAGACTACCGAGCGCGGTCCATCAGTGACAGATCAACAAAGACTAAAAGAGTTCGTTGCGATGGACGAGAAGTTCAAGGAAATCGATGATGTATGCGCTGAGCGTTGGACCAAACAGATTTTCAATGGAGCCTGGAACCCAATGACCGCTATCTCTGGTCTTGAAACTCATCAGCTATTAGCTTCGCCTCATATACGGATGGTACAAGAACTTGCTGAAGAGACGTTTAATGTTGCACTAAAAATGGGTGTAAGACTTCCGAAGAACCTACCAGACATGGCAATCGAATTAGCACGAGCAAACCCATCATTGGCGCCATCAATGTTGCAAGATGTGAGGAACAGGAAACCAGTGGAGGTGGACTCACTATGTGGTTAGTAATTACGAGAGCCGTTTTACAGAATATGTCGAACTAATCACTACCGCAGGCAATGTCATTCGGGATGCAGAAAAGGTTAACATCCCAGTCCCGACGGTTAGGACAGTGTATCACACACTCTTGGAAATGAACAAACAAATTCGGGATTCAACTGTGTCACGAAGGACCGAGAATGAAAGCAAGCTACGTGTGCAGCCCGACATCCATAGGCTGCTAGTTGCTTGAAGCAACTCTAGCAGCGCAGCTGCTCTGCAGGGGGGTCGTAACAGGTTGACAAAATTTGATTTTCGAAATTTGACATAGGTTCACAACAAAACCTTTCTCGTCACTTATGACACTTGTGCAACTTTTGGAAGAACACGCAAACATGATAACCGCTAGAGATTCAATTTGGTGTTAAAATTGAATGCTGAATGACCAATGTCAACGGAGAGTCTTTAAGAGAGAATCGTAAATATTGCGTAGGCTATGCCAAATAAAGGTGAAAGAGAAAGACCCGTTGTAGTACTCTGGACGCAATGTCTGCGGAACAAACAGAATCTGCGCCGATCATCTCCGGTCGCCCAGAGATTGTGCTATGTGAGGAAGCCGAGCATTTTAACAATCATGGTTGAACACGGCCAGTGCTCCCTTGCCTTGCGCAGGAAGCCTTCCGGCTCATCGGGCAGCTTTCTGCAACCACCAGCCATTTTTACAGTTACATTGTCCCCAGTTTGAACCCACCCTTGACCTGCTTTTGAAAAATGCCATTCTTATCGTATTGTTCGGCCACATTTTTCAACCTCACTAAACTTTCATTGCCATAGCCTGCGAGAACGTTCTGCCAGCTGCCTGCATAATTCATGTAAACATGCGGATCAGCTACACCTTCGCTGATCGCAATGCGATCTACTGCAGTAGTGAGAATCTGGAGAGCCTGCTGAAGCGCTTCCGTGACGGTGGGATCGTCATATTGAAAGGCTAAGCCAATGTTAATGAGTCCTTGTTCAGGCTTTGACAACGGATCGAATCCAAGACTATTAGGGTTCTCCTTGGTTGCAGCTGCTGGAACAGATTGGATCGAGCACGCAATGGTGAGATTTGCGGACGCGTACTCATCTGTCAGTGCAAGCGACACATTTCGGAATAGAGTATGAATGCGGAAGAGAATTGTAGGCGATATAGCGAAAGTGGTGGTTGACCAGTGCATACTAGCGTACGGTTTCATCAGCATCGGTTGTGCAAGACCGATCAGTGATTATCTGCTAAGAATGCAAACGGGATCCTACTCACTAGTACGATTTGAAGATTGGAGACAGCCTTTCGCTTGCGAATCCACCAGGCGTATCGGTACGTATCGAGTTGAAAATCTGTGGCTCTATCTTGGCAAATACTTCAAGAGTACTCCCGTTTACACTCTCTGGACGCGAATGGTACATAGCAATGTCTGATGTGAACGTACGAAGGGCAGCATCGTAAACGAAGCCGAAAGTGAACATGGCATATGGATCGAACTTTCCTGGCTCCTTGAAAGCAGTAAGCGTATCGAGGAGCTGTTTGTCACTGGCATCGGTATAGATGACAATGCCACCCCACATCTTTCCTTGTGAGAATGTTCTCAAGTCAAAGCGGGTGACGACACCAAAATTGTTTTGACCGCCTTTCAACGACGTGAAGAGATCGGGATGTGACGTTGCATTGGCGTCGACAATTGCTCCAGTAGAAAGAACAACCTCAAAGTTGATGACGGAGTCGCATGCCCATCCTCGCTCAGGAGAGAAGAAACCTATTCCTCCTTTGTATCCTCGCAGTTAGCGATGGAACACGATCAACCATTTGTGGGATAGGGTACCTCCGGTTAAGAATCCGCCAACTCCAACGAGGCCATTCCTACCACCTTGCACGGTTAGGCTGTAGAGGTCAAGAGCGTCGTAGACGCTTTGCCATCTTGTCCCAGGACCAACTGTCACAATATTTTCTGAATGTCGGAGTTCCACCGTGTTCATAAGACTGAGATCGATAGTAATTCCCTCCTTAATGTCTGCGAAGCCTGTTTTATAGTTAGAGTATGATAGACTGGGGGCTGAAGATTGACCTACCTCTATTCGTGTTGTGCCCTCCACTGCGAATGGCAAACTCAACTGAATTGGACTGACTTAGTATCTTGACAATGGCCGCAACTTCCTTGGTGTTTTCTGGATGAGCAACACAGGTTGGCCGTAACCGCGTCCCTATGTAAGCATATGAGGAGATTGAGTCCTCATACTGCTGGTTCCCTGGGAAAGATAATTTTCCTGGGAGGTATGAAATGAGGGCCGCGCACGCCTGGCTAGCATCACTCGAGCTGGCTGTTACAGAACAACTACAGAGCAACAGACAGATGAGACGTCGTAAGAAGGGCATTTGGAAGAAAGAGCTGAGTGAGCATAAGAGATGCAGAAACCTTCTTGGATGTGAAGTCTTAAAAGGCCAGATCATGCGAAAATGAAGGGCGATGAATGTAGCAGTTGGAATGCTGTATTGTTAGATCACATTCATGGATCTACATCTGGAACTACACTTAGATCACACCTGTTTCGATGCTTCGATGCTGCGATACCCAAACCAAGAGGTCGCTCTGACCACCTTAATGTCTGGTTTCTAGTGCATGTTCATAGCGTGTGTGTGTTCTGTTATGGTCATGCACCCTAAGGGTACCGAGGCTGCGCGCGTTATGCACCAGTTCGCGTAGCGCACGCCCCAACACCACAACACCATAATCGCGATATCTACATATTGTGGGAAAGTCATTTCCTGCTAGGAAACGACTCTAAAGAGGACTATGTGCTACTAGCGTGTGGTAGGAAATAACCATGCCAGGAAAATTAAAACCTAAAACCTGTTTCCTGTAACCCCTACTACCTAAAACCTTTTTCCTATAACCCCTACCTAAAACCTATTTCCTATAAACCTATACTTAAAACCTATTTGCTATAAACCTATACCTAAAATCTATTTCTGCAGAAATTTAGATCACTAAGGTTAGGAATAATTTAGTAGATAGATTATTAGATTATATCTACTACAATAGGACTTGTTACAACATAGGTAGGTAGGGCATCTAAAAGGTATCCTATATAACTTAAAGGCATATAGGAGTGCGCGTCTATATAGAAAAGGATAAGATTCTATGGAAATCTAGATTACTAAGGTTAGGAATAATTTAGGAGATAGATTATTAGATTATATCTACTACAATTGGACTTATATATATAGAGCTTTAGCTACCCTTACTAGAAGGTAAATAATTAGTAAACCTTCCTTACTAGAGCTCCTGCTTTTTATTAGGCACTTAGCAGTAAGCTAGCAGTTAATTAGATAGTAGGTTATATAGGGGTATTAATTAGGATTAATTAGATTAAGATACTCTATAATCTAGTTAATATCCCTCCTATAACACACCCCCTAGGTATAAGTAGATCTTTTATTATTATAGTTACACTTATAGTTAGTAGGTAGTATAGCTAATTAGAGTGTTATATATCTAAAGGATTAAATTAGCTTACCCTTTAGATACTAACTAGTGCGCCTTCCTTATTTAGCCTATACTTATATACTTAGATATTAGCTAGACTAAGCTTTATAACTCTATCTACCTAACTATAATCTTTACTATAGCTTAAATTATAAGATTATATAACCCTAAAGATCTAAACTATATTTATATCCTTACTAACTTATATCTTAGTTAAAGTTAAAATCTACTACTTATACTTACTTTACCTATACTACCCTTATTACCTCTTATACTACTAAAGCTACTATTACTAAAGCTACTACTACTAAAGAAGAGTATACTACTACTAAGCGTTAGGCTATTATAGAGCGTATAGTAGCTAAGTATATAGCTACTACTACTATAGCTAAGATTAAGAAGATAAAGAAGGGCGCTCCTGCCTTAGCTCTTACCCCTCTAGCTCTAACTCTAGCTCCTGCTCCTCCCTAGACCCTACCTAATACCCCTACTCCTTCTCCTACTCCCTCTTTAGCTCCTAAGGAGACCCTAAGATCCTCCTACTATAGAGAGCCTAGTATTTATTATACTAAAACTTATTTAAATTATCTACACTCTATACTCTTTAATAAGTCTAATAGTAAGTGCTATAACTCTTCTAGTAGAGGGACTTAGTACTAGTAGTGCTTCTCTAGGTATAGCTATATCCTAATATATATAATCTATATAAGAAGTTTTCCTTTATAATAATTAGTAAGATCTATACTAATAAACTAATAGCCCTAAGCTTACCTAATACTCTACGCTATCCTTCCTAGTAAGGATATAGGTAGGTAAAAGCTAAGACCTTCTTAAGGATAAGAAGTAGAGGGTCTTAGTGCTCCTTAAGGAGAGTAAGGCTAAGTAGTAGGAGCTAGTAAAAGCTACTACTACTACTACTAAGCTTGCGCGTAAGGCTACTACTATAGCTAAGGGTGCCTAGAGCTCCTTATTAGAAGATAAGGACTCTAGCTCCTCTAAGGTTCCCCCTATAGATCCTAGGTAAGGGTAACCTAGGTGGCTTCTTATAGACTCTAAGGCACGCTTTACGCGCGTAATAGATCTTCTTAGGGAAGCTACCTAGTTAATAATAGAGAGATAGGCTATAGTTAGTTATTCTTGTATTATATATTAATAGATTATATATACTACCTTACTTTAATTAATACTCTATAATCTATACTCTACTATAATATAACTTTAGGTGCTCCCTAAACCTTATAAATTATTATATAGTTAGGTTTTTAGTAAGCCTATTAGCTAGTATATTACTAGTAGGTAGATAGGTAATATAGAAAGATCCCTTTATATACTCTTATCTTAACTATATGTTTTAAATATCTATATAGCGTAGCGTAGTAGTAATCCCTTTATTATTACCTACTATAAACCTAATAGTTTATTAATTATTATAATTAATTACCTAGGTAGTATCTAAAGTAAGGTCTATTTTAGTTAAAAAGCGTTTTAACGCTATTACTTCTTTACTTACTTACTTAAGCGCAAGGAGCTCTAGCTTAGTAGTTAAGGTAGTAACAGTTGCTTATTAATCTATATTCTAAATAATAGGTCCTCTAAAGAGTGTAATTAGGTATCTATATAATAATTGCTAAGTATTAATATTATTAGCAAATAACGCATTAATATATATTATAAGCTTATTAGGATCCCTATTTATATATTAGATTAATTAGTATTAAGTGTAGTATAGATAGACAATTACTTAATTAACTAGATTAAAGTGTTGTTTAGATAGGTTAGTAAGGTATTAGGAGAGCTAGGAGGCCGCGTAGGCAATATTAGGGCGCACTATAGTTAAGGTGTAAAGAATTAATCTAACGCGCTCCTAATAGTCCTTAATCTCCTTTTTAGTGGCTTCTCTAGTGCTCTTTTTAATATCTTTACTTAATAGTAGTGTAGTAGGGAATTTTCCTATCTCTAGTAGATTAAATTTCTTTATAATCTTGTTAATATATTTATTATAAACAAGCGTTATTAACTGTCTCTTTCTATCCTAGATTACTCTAACCCCTAGAAACTAGCTTATAGGTCCCTTTTCTTCTATAGTATATCTTTGCTTTAGAGCTTGGATAACTTTGTGAGCTTAGCTTGCGTAGTTTTAGTAATAGAGCGATAGGATATTGTCTATATAGAATATTAACAAGATACTATAATCTCTATTAAAGAATAGGCATGGCTCCTCTTTAGAAGTAATAAGCTTATTTTCTTAGAGTGTAGTTAAGAGCTTATTATACTATAATAATAGTAAGTCTTTTAATCTATATAGAGCTCGTTTAAGCTTAATAGACTTCCTAGGCACTTAATATCCTTTAGGTAGCTTATAGATAACTATTAGGTGTTAATCCCTTAAGCTATTAAGGAAAGCTCTAATAATGTTATATTAATATATCTTAAGGATAAACTTAGCTCTAAGAGCTATTACAGTCCTAAAGGTTTAAGCTACTAAGGTAGCTGCGTAGCTTAAATATATTAAGTTAGTAGGCTATAGATCTCCTCTTACTACTATCCTTGTTTTACACTTAATCAAGTATCTATCCTAATTAAGCTTATATGTAAACACCTATTTAAGTAGGAGTAGACACTCTCCTGTATTTAGCCTATTAATCTACTCCTAGGTACTAGCTTTTAGTAGAGTATTAATTTCTTTATATACTATATCTCTAAATTATTGTCCTATTTAGTAGTTATAGAGATCCTTCTATTATTTTAGCTCTTTTTATAGAGTGTCCTAGTGCGTATTTCTTTTAGGGTTTTTAGGAGATTTGCTCCCTATTACTACTATAATTATAGCGTGGATTATAGCGTTTAGTTTAGGATATACTATAAGGTTATATAAGGGATTTTTAATTAGATCTATATCTAATAGATCTATTACTATGTATATCCCTATACTTGTGGATCCTCCTAGTGGTTTATTAGGGTCCTGTCCCTAAGCTCGCTTACTAACACGCGTTAGTGGCAGTCCTTTAACTCGCGGTTTTCTGCTTCTTCTAGGAGCTCTAGGTGCCGCTTGTAAGGGATCTGCAGGAGATACAGAATCTAGTCCTAAAGTAGGTAGGTAGGAGCTCTGCTTACTACCCCTATAAGAGCTAGATAGGGTGCCCTTACCTATCTCTGTGCTCTTATAGAATAACCTACTAATAGCACTCTCCCCTCTAGGTCTTTCCTAGGAGCTACCTATTATAGCGTTAAAGTAAGTTAGATTACTACTATCTTAGGTAGTAAGACCCTAATCTATAACCTATACAGATCCTTTATCTCCTATACTAAAGTTTAGTTCTAGTGTTAGTTTAGGAGTTTAGAGCCCTATTAGCTTAGGGGACTTTGTATAGATCCTTTGTGCTAAGCTAGCTATGCTTAGTACCTACGCTAGAGGTGTCTGCTTAGGGGGCTATAAATTACTTAGCTAGCTAGCCTAATTATCTACCTCCTCTAGCTCTACCCTACCCACTAGCTCCTGCGCTAGGTTTAGTCCTCCTTGCTTACTAGACTCCTTATATTGCTCTACTATAATACAAAGCTAATTAAAGATATTAAGCTCTTTATATACTTCTCCTATATTATAGATCTTATCTTTACTAATAATATTAACTATCTTTTAAGCCTCTAACTATTAAAGCTACTCTAGATCTTTCTCTTTGTAGAAAAGATTATTATTAAAGGTAATATTCTGCGTTATAATAATCTAATTAAGAGAGGGGATCTATATCCTATATATATTAGATGCTCTATATCCTACTAGATATCTAATATAACCCTAAGGGTTTACCTTAAAAACCCTCTTGTGACGCCTAGCTGCTTAATCTCTATTAAGGGGGTAAGCTTAACAGCTATAGGCGTATATTCTACT